TGGCTGACGATGAATAACAACCCAGAAATGGCCATTCCGGTCTCCCTTTGCTTTGTCGGATCTATTGTATCAGAATGATTATTTCTGGATCAGTAGCCGTCATCAATCAGTCATATTCGACTACAGGTGGCGCACCACCCGAGGCTCGATTGCATGACGTGTTGATCAGAAGTCCGACGCCCTAATCCTTGAGCCACGAGCTCGTTATCGCGCCAGTTTAGCTCGAGAGGTATTAATATGGGCAGATGAACGCGCACCGAGTGGCTAGGTAACTTATCCCACTCTTTCTGCCTTGGAACGAACTTTCCAGTCCACCAGTCACCAGTCACACAGCGGCTAGTAATGTAGAGCAGTATGACCGGCTGAGAAGAGCTCATAAGTCAAAAATGGCCATTTCAGTCTCCCTGGTTTTTGGCCGACAGTCCTCATCTGCTTACACTACAAGCCGTTGTGTGGCTACTAGCGGCTTAAGAGAATGAGACACAAGGCTCAACTGGAAAGGTTAGTTCCGTTAGTGGTCGGTGCATAGGATCCACCAGATATTGTGAAATACCTTCTTTAACAGAACCTTGTGAGGCGTTCGTGCATAATACAGCGCATCCGTCAATTTATTAATGCTGCCTATACGACATGATTCAGATATATCGCAACATTTCATGAGAACTACGTGACTTTTTTCTGCAAACCGTAGGCAAGAACGTACTTCTCCCTAAACAGGATGCATACAGCGCGCAGTTTGCAAACCTTGAGTTCAGGAGCAGTAGTCAGTAGGTTTCAAAATTATTCGGCCATTTCGAAACTTTTTTCAAACCGAAGGATACACTTTATTGAAGTATAACATTTAAAGAAGGCGTAATTTTCTACCAAATGAGTGCAATAGAGAATGTTCTCGTGCATGTTTTCCATAAAATTTGGACATACTTGCCACACTCTCTTTTATGCAATGGTACATTGCCAAATATTTTGATAGCACAGCGTGCATGTCAACGAATAGTGAGTTCAAAGGTACACACACATATTTCCCCAAGTAAAATGTAATGAACTGAACGCGCCCTTCATTCGCGCAAGAATACTACCAACAGCTAAAGGGAGCCCATGTTTCGCCCATCTCGGGTTCAATGGTTAAGTCACAATGCAAAAATTGAAGGCTACGACCCTGTCACTAGTTAGTGTCAAGTTGTGCGTATGCTATGTTGAGGACACGTGTGTCATTGTTAAAAAAGACCTACTGACAAGACAGCACAATCTAATTAACTGAACGATAACAGGAATCACCTCTAAGCTCGAAAAAGAAGTTAAAAACAAACTCTCCTTTCTTAAAGTTCTCGTACAG